TAAAGAAAATATAAGGAAATTTATTCACCATATTAGTTGGAGGATAAACTAATCCACAACCATAAATATCATTATTATTGAAAGATGTTGAAAGTTGAAGGTATTTTCCGTTATATATTTGACGATATTTTGCAGAATAATAAATATAATTGCCTTTACTACAATTTCTAAGACCAATTTGCATGTATGATTTGCTACCATTTAATTCTTTCTCAAATTTACTTTTAACTTCAAAATAATATAAAGAATAATTCAAACAATTTTGTGGTTTTTTGAATGGATTTTCTGCATAAACATAAACCCATTGATCATAACCTAAAAATAATTTTATTTAAATTTCAAAAATTCAAAAGTAATTTACCTCTTTTCCCCACCAAATATTTAATATTTTCATCATTAATTAAATTTACATATCCATTTCCCTCAATACAGTTACCAATAGGTTTGTTTGTATTTATACAATTTTTATCACAACATTTACTGTAATCACTATCAATTTCATTCCATTTATTTTTAATTTTAACAAATACAATATTATTCAATAAACTAACCACAGAATTTAAATTATTTAATTCAAATAAACCATCAAACTTTTTGTCGGTCAAATTATTTACCTTTATTAAATAAAATTTTAATTAATTAAAAAAATATTTTTTATTTTAGATTATTAAATTTAAAAGTTTAATTATTGGAGTATAGGACCTTAACAATTTTGGTACCATTTTTGGACCTTAACAATTTTGGTACCAATCTCTCCAGCTCGATGAGAGGAATTGTTTAATACTAAATTTTAACAGATTAGAAAATCTTCAAGCAAGTTATGGCTTTGCGCCTACTTGGCCGCGCGCCTACTTGGGCTGTACCCGAGTAAATAGTAGTTTGCAGCTCAGACTTTTTAAAATCTTGACTTTGTTCATTTTTTAATTTAGTTTGTAGTAAAAACTAAATTAATTAATTACCTTTTTAATCTCAACTTCCAAAGAATTAATTTTTTCATCCTTTAGATTTAAATCTTGCTTTATTCCTTCCATCTCGTTTTTATGTTCAGAATTTAATTTTTGAATTGTCTAAAATTAATATTTAAAAAAATCATTTTAAAAAATCTAAACTTTATCCATTCCCTTCAATTCATTTACTAAATTAACATTCTTTTCCTTCTCTTCATTAAATTTTAATTGAAGATTATTAAAATTAGTTTGAAGTTTAATTAAATCATTGCTTTGATTATGCAACTTTAAAAAGAATTTTTTTATTTTTAAAATTATGTTTAAAATTTATTTTTAATTCCAAATCGGAATTTAAAATGTGATTTACCGTATTTACTCGATTAATTCCCCTGTGGAATTATTATTTCAACAAATCCGTGGCATGGGGTATTATAGTAGTAGGGTATTGGGGGGAGGGATTAGTTTCAACTCAAAATATTCAAAAAAATCCAAACTTTATCCATTACCGTCAAAGTTGAAATCAAAAAGCAGGGGGAATTATTCGAGAGAAGGGAATTAATCGAGTAAATACGGTAGTTTATAGTAAGAATTAGGGTAATTACTTACCTTTTTAATTTCATCTTTCAAAAACTTAATTTCCTCATCTTTTTGATTTAAAGAAATATCTAATTCAGCTTTTAATTTTTTATTATTTTCTTCATTTAATTGTTTAAAATTTTGTTTTAAATGTTTAATTTCATTTTCATGTTCCTTTTGAAGTTTTAAATTATTATTTTCCAAAGATAGATAATTAATTTTCAATTTCAACTAAAATATAAATTTATTTTATAGTTAAAAAGTGAATCCTGTCTCTAATACATAATTCATTAAAAAATAATTTAACCTCTAATTTTTTCAGACGTTCTTTTAAACCTCCATTTATATTTTGTGTGGAACAAGAACTACTACATATAGTAGACAAACCATCAATACTCGATGTTTCCAAACAACTTTTCTCTGTAAAATTATCTTCTTCTTCTACAAGTGTTTCATCTCCAATTTTATTCAAATCAGCCTTAATATTATCAGAATTGGCAATGGAGAACGACCATTCTTCTATTTGTTTTGGTGTTTTCATATTTTTAAAAAATTTTTCTGAAAATCTTGTTTTGGAGGTGGCGATTAATAGAGCATAAATAACTTTTTTTAAAAAAGTTAAATAAATTTGTTTAAATTTAAAATAATATCTTTTTAAAACACGTACAAAAAGGAATAGAAAAAAGACAAAAAATGTATTAATTTTATGAAATTTAAATAAAATAATTTTTCTTAATCCAAATTTAAATTTTTTGGTGAGTTTAAAACATAAATAAATAAAAAAAAATATATTTTTATACTGAAACGGTTTTTGCCCAAAGAGTGTAAAAATATTTATTAAGGAACTTGAAAGTTATTTTCATGAGAATATTTGTTGAGGGAATACATGTATTTTAAAAAATAAAAGATAAGAAAATGTTTTGAGGAAATTCTGAGTTCCAAAGTTTTAGCAAAACACAGACATTAATATTTTTAACCGTATATTTAAAAATATTCCCTCAACAAACAAATAAATTCTTTTTTCCTCTATTTTTCCTCAACATTTCTAGTATTACAACAAAACTGTTTCGATTTTCCTTCTGATCCTTTTAATTGGATAGAAAATAAAAAGGGTAATCAAAGCTAAAAATTCCTCTTAATTGTATAAAACAACCGTCTGGTTTTCAATTCTTTTTTTTTAAAGTACCGTATTTTCTTAAATTGCGCCTCTATCTTAAGGCTAAAGGAAGATATTTCGAAAAATCCTTATTTATTTTGTTCTCCATTTAATTCTCTATTATGTATTTGATTGTATTTTGATATTATTTGATTAAGTTTTAATAAAGTTATGCTAAAAAATGTGCGGGCAAAGATTTTTGAGGTACCCTGTACAAATGATCACAAAAAATCCACCTTTTATCGAGGGATTGAATAAAAATCAAATAAAAAGTTTTTTCATTTAAAAATTCAGCAGAATTATTTAAAAAACTGTTATTCGAATTCAAAAAATAATATGACAAAATTAATCAAAAAATTTCAGTAAAATTCTTGAAGAATCAAATGTTTTGAAATGTCGTAATTAAAATTTTTAGTCCCAAGATCGCATCCAAAATTCGTTTCAGCAGAACAACATAACAGATCAATGAATGGGTTAAATGAGTCGAAATTGTCCTTTAATAATGTACCCTTTCCTTAAAGAAATTTTTTAAAATAATTTTTATTATTAAATATTTACCAAGTTGTTTTCCATTATGAGTAAAGAAAACATAAGGAAATTCTTCTGTTTTATTAGTTGGAGGATAAACTAATCCACAACCAAAAATATCATTATTATTGAAATCTGTTGAAAGATTAAGCACTTGATGTTTATTAGGGGAATAAATTGTATCCAGATTTACGAAATAATGAATAGTATATTTAGAATTTAAATTTTTAAGGCCAATATGCATCCAATATGTACAATTCTTCGCCTCTCCTTCAAATTTACATTTAATTTCAAAATAATAAACTGTATAATCGACACAATTTCGTGGTTTTTTAAACGAATTTTCTGCATAAATTTGAAAAGGAATATTCACATCTAAAAATATTTAGACAAGAATTGAAAATTGAATATTTAAAAATTACCTCCTTTCCCCTCCAAACGAACGAAGTATTTAATATTTTCATCATTAATTATATTTCCATATCCATTTCCTTTAATACAATTACCAATAGGTTTGGCTGTATTTATACATTTATTGTCACAACATTTACCATAAATTTCACTCCATTTATTTTTAATTTTAACAAAATTCTTTAGAAATTATTATTAGATTTAATTAGAAACTAACTAAACGCATATTTACAAGACATACTATCAGTTAATTTAACAATTGCTAAATCACTACTCTTTTTGTGAAAAAAGTCATTTGCCTTCTATATATACACTCTGTCACAAAAGTATAAGCACCCCTGTGAAAATTTTATTTCTACTTATTTTAAAATTCTACAAAAAATACAGTAAATATGTCTATCGATATTATGAAAAATAAAAAAAGAATTAGGCCCATATCTCATTCCAGTGTCGAGATCTCGATACCCTGAAAATCAACATAAAACAGGGGTTTTCAACTTCAAAAAAATTTTTCGACCCCTTATGGTTTGTTTTAAATTTTCAATTTGAGCTCATTCGAAAGCCCTTTAAATTTGCTACAAGATAGCATAAATCTTATTTTTCAGAAAAAATTCAATAGGGATATACAGGACGTTAATCCTCAGGAGCTAATTTTATGGGGCATTTGGACGTTTTTTGCGCTTTAGAAATTTAAAACTTAATAACCTGCTGAAATAATTTTTCTAGAAAATAAGATTTATGCTATCTTGTAGCAAATTTAAAGGGCTTTCGAATGAGCTCAAATTGAAAATTTAAAACAAACCATGAGGGGTCGAAAAATTTTTTTGAAGTTGAAAACCCCTGTTTTATGTTGATTTTCAGGGTATCGAGATCTCGACACTGGAATGAGATATGGGCCTAATTCTTTTTTTATTTTTCATAATATCGATAGACATATTTACTGTATTTTTTGTAGAATTTTAAAATAAGTAGAAATAAAATTTTCACAGGGGTGCTTATACTTTTGTGACACATGATTTTCGAGAAAATTCAATTTTAAAATTTTTAAATCGATAGAATTTTCTGAAACTTTATTTTTAGTTATGTTTTGGATCCCTGCTAATGTAGGAAAAAAATAAAACAAATAATGTGAAGGGATCATGAGTTTTCAAAAAAATTTAGGGGTGCTTATACTTTTGTGACAGAGTGTATATAAAATAAATTAATTTTTTTAATATTTTTTAAAATTGTTTATAGGTATAACTTGACACTTTTCCGTTTAAGATTTCATTTTCAAACACAAGTCAACTAGTCACGGATGGAAATGTTTAAAATGCATCCTAGCCTTCATTTGATAATAAAAAATTTAATGAATTATCTATTGGATGAAGTAGCACTTAATTTTATCTTAAAATTCCCACCGTTTGAGTAGAGATTTTGCTCGAACTTTGAATGAGCTCATCACCAGAATCGTCAGAACTATCACTTGCCTCTTCAACAAAAAGTTGTTTAATATCAGTCAAAGTAGCAGGATAACGGCAACGAGGACAATCTTTTGACTAAAAATGTTAGAACAGAATTTGATAAAAATAAATTTCCTTAACCCCTTCGGTAATCCAACGGATGACACATTCGCGATGGAATGTGTGATTACAATTTTTCAAAGTATAAACATTGTCAGGATGTAAACGAAATTGGCAAACAGTACAACGACCAAATTTGTAATGAACCATTTTTAGATTCTAAAGAATTAAATTAAAAAGGTTCCAAAAATAATATTATAAAAGATATAATAATGGAACTAGGAAAACACAGAAAAATAAAACAATATTAATAAGAAATACGAATAATTGAACAGCTTTTAATAAAATTTCCCTTTAAAAAACGAAAATTTTTCATTGAAATATTCATGTTTAACCAAATAATCATTTATTTTTCACATACATATGTATCAGCAATGAGAACCTAGCAAACGGAGAATAAGCTTTTTTAATATTTTTTCTCTCCTCCCTTGTGACTTGAATTATTACATATTATTTCTCATCATGACATTTGTGTATTATTCTACTATGTATAAATTCTAGGTTCCAAACATTATATCATTAATATATATAGGTCAAAGTATTTTGTTTAATAAAACACTTTATTTTTAAATATATGCTTTGGGTAAAAATCGTAAATAAAAAATATAAATAAATTTTTAAATATATTTACTTCAAGCATAAGTAGAAGAGGAAAGGTCATAAATGGAAGGGAGGACTTTGCGCCGCGATAAATGAAAAGTAACATTACTTCTTAAACTTTTCAAAAAAACTTAAATTTATTTATATTTGCTCATATTTTTTTTAAATTAAGAATAAATTTTTAACAGAATTTATTTCTTTAAATTCAAAAACGAAATGACTGAAAAAGAATTATCATCAAATTCTGATTGGCTTTTGGTAGAAAATGAGAAAGATGATTTGGAAAAACTTCAAATTAATTTTGAAAAACTTGAAAAAAATTTGGTTGGAGAGAAAGAAAAGAGTGTCAATTTAGAAAAGAAAGTTGTTTTTCTTGAAAATGAATTGAAGGAAATGAATAAAGTTTGGATATTTTAAATAATTTTGTAAAAATAAATTTTAGAAAATTGAAAAAATAAATTTTGATAATGAAAGTAAATTTAAAGAAATTGAACAAAATTTTCAAAAATTAATTGAAGAAAATGTTCGAAAAGACGAAAAAACTAATTATTTGGAAGAGGTTTTAAAGGTGAAATAAATATTAATTTGGGTGCAACTCAATTGAGTAAAAACCCTACAACTTATAAAGGGATTGTTATTTATTTAGGTTATTGTTAAGTCAATTTTAAGTGCTTAGCTACAAATAAGTACATTTTGACTTTCGTAAATACGGTAGTCAATTTGTAAGGGTACTATCAAAATAAGTACGGATTTGGAGCCCTGTAATTCTTACACGACAATTACATACATACTTTTTTTTTAGAAATTTCAAGAATAGTCTTTCCAAAAATAGATTTAACTCTAAATCTAAAAGATAAATTTAAATTTTTTTTTATTAATTCTGCAGAAAGGTATACCAGAAAAGTCACCAGTCAAAGGAGAGCCACAACAAACTCAGCAACTATTCACTCCGGTTTCAAAGCCTCAGCAAAAAATTACTTTAGGTTTTTTTTTCTTTGTTAATGAATTTTCTGAAAAAATTTTTGAATGTTGTGACTTATAGGGGTTTTTTTGGCTGGACCGATTTGGACAAATGAGGTGTCATTCGAAAGAGCTCGCCGAGCTGAGTCGATCGCGGGGGCAGAGAAGTCGATCCGACAATCAGGGACCGAGATACAGACCCCTGAAGTTTGAAAAAGAGTAGGGGGGAGTAAGCTCATTTTGGGGTGAAAAATTTGAAAATGCAAATAATAGCTCAATCGACTCAGCTCGTCGAGCTGAGTCGAATGATACCAAAATCACCGAAATCCGACTTGATTTGACAAAGTTATGATCGTTTGTTTTAGCTCCTTACCTATGGTCATTGTTGAGGTTTTTGCTGCTACGGAGGCCCCAAGTACGTCCAGAGCAAGGGAGATAGGAATAGGTTTATGTTACTGACCCAGACCCAGCGACCGTTGACTCCCCGCGAGGCGTGTGCCGCGAAACCCCGCGCGAAGCGCGGGGTTTCGCACAAGCGCCTCGCCGACGCCCCATAGGTTCATGTTGACCAGTTTGAACCTGTTTATCTTGGCTCAGAATCAAGATATCGAGCTGATTTTGGTGTCATTCGACTCAGCTCGACGAGCCGAGTCGATTGAGCTATTATTTGCATTTTCGAATTTTTCACCCCAAAATGAGCTTACTCCCCCCTTCTCTTTTTCAAACTTCAGGGGTCTGTAACTCGGTCCCTGATTGTCGGATCGACTTCTCTGCCCCCGCGATCGACTCAGCTCGGCGAGCTCTTTCGAATGAAACCTCATTTGTCCAAATCGTTCCAGCCAAAAAACCCCTTATAAGTCACAACATTCAAAATTTTTATTAAGGAGATTTGTCTTTCCAACAAAATCCAAACGACCCACAAAAATGGATTATAACGAATGGAGGCGGTGGAAGTTCAAACATTAAAACACCTCAAAAAACAATAAAAGGTGCTGCGGTTAGTTTATAATTATAATTAAATTATTAAAATTAATTTTTTAAAAAGAATTTTGTTGGAATTAAAAATAAATGGAGTGAAATTTATGGATGTTGTTCCAATAATTGTATAAATCCAAATAAACCTGTTGGAAATTGTATTGAAGGAAATGGATTTGGAAATTTAATTAATGATGAAAATATTAAATATATTAATTGCTTGAAGGAGCAAGGAGGTAAATTATTTTGAATTTCAATAATTTGCAAATACTTTTAGGAAAAAATGCCATTGCTTATGTTCATGCTGAAAATTCATTTAAAAAACCTCATACTTGTTTTAATTATTCTTTATATTATTTTGAAGTTAAATGTATATTTGAAGGAGAGTTGAATCAAATTTGGAAATGGATTTATATTGGTCTAAAAAATTGTAGGACAAATAAATTTATTAAATTTTCTGCTGAGTTTGCTACTGTTTTTAACGAGAAAGCTGTTGGATTTTATCTAGACAATATTTCTTGGAAGGATAATGATATTTTTGGTTGTGGATTAGTTTATCCTCCAACTAATATGACAAATGAATTTCCTTATGTTTTCTTTACACAAAATGGAAAACAGATTGGTAATTAATTAATGACAATTATTTTCATAAAAATTGTTTTAAAGGGAAAGCTATTTTATTGAACGAGAATTCTGACTCATATAAACCTTCTGTTTTTCTGATGAGTTGTTCTATTGAAGCTAATTTCGGAAATAATTTGGAAGCTAAGCCGTTTAATTATGAAATCTCAAAACATGAAATTCTCAAAGAATTTTATTGAAATCTTAAATTATTTTTTGATTTTACTCGTTTTCATTTATATACCTATTTATTACCAATTAAAATAATCAATTTTTTGTGTTTTATATAAATATATGTATTTTCATTGAATTAACGCTATATGTAAATTTTATATATATTATTAAAAATTTCATAAACGCAGCACAAGCCAAAAATCAACGCAAAAAATGCAAGAACTCAAAAATGGAAAATTTTTTTATCAATCATTAGCCATTTTCCAATTAAAAATTGAAGTATTACTAAATGTCAGCGATTCCTACTAATGGCGAAAAAATTGTAAAAATCTAATTCAAAGTTGAATTATAAATATTTTATTTTAAAGGTAAAGGTATATTATTAAAGGACAATTCTGACGTATAAACTTAGTGTTATTCAAACGCGATTTTTCGGTATCGGTATTTTCGGTAAAATACCGATACCGAAAATACCGCGGTATTTTTGATTGAGGCGGTATCGGTATCGGTATTTCGGTAAAATACCGATACCGAAAAATACCGACGAAAAATAGTCGGTATTACCGCGGTATTTCGGTATTTTTTGAAAATTTACCAGATGAGCTAATTTAATACAATAAATGTAAAATAAGTTTATAAATAGTGAATAAATAGTGAATCTAGTATTTGTAATGAATCAATGGAAGTGTTTGCTTCAGAAAAATTAACATTTCTGCATTTACTGGACACAAAAGTGATCGCATGTATTCAAAGACGTCTCTTGCTACGGAAAAAATCCTTTCACTTTCTACTGACGTTGCTTGCGCAGAATTTAAGTCAGATTTCTTCATTTTTTGCGCCGCAGGCGAAAATTTTATAAAATTTTGAAGGCCATGAAGCCAAATTTTTCCATTTTTAACCGCCAGAAGCCAAAATTTTAGAATTGGAAGCCAACTTTCTTATTTTTTCAGCGCCGCAGGCGAAAATTTTGAAAATTTCGGTAGGCCGTAGGCGAAAAAACTCACTTTTTAGTCTACCAGATAAATACCGAAATACCGAAAAATACCGCGGTATTTTGATAGAGGCGGTATCGGTATCGGTATTTCGGTAAAATACCGATACCGAAAAAATACCGATTTTTTAAAAACTGGACGGTATCGGTTTCGATATCGGTATTTCGGTAAAAATACCGCGGTATTACCGAAAAATACCGCGGTAATACCGTACCGTGAATAACACTAGTATAAACCATGTTTTGCTTTGACCTGTGTTCTGTAGAAGACAATTTTGGAAATGATTTGGAGACGAAACTTTATAATTTACTCTCATAGATTTAAAGTTATATATTTCAGTTTGGAAGTTTCATCTGCTCACCAATTAAAATTGGGAAAATTCTGAAATACCGTATTTTCTCTATTAGAATGCCATGGCATTCTATTTTTCAATCACCTTTGGAAGTGGCATTATATTAGAGACTGGCATTCAACTGGAGAGTGGCATTCTATTTTTCGATGTCTAAATTTTGAAACTATAAAAAATTTTCATCTAGCAAATTCAATTTGTCTCAAAATTTAGTTTCATCCTGACATGGGAAAAATGCCAAAATCGAATTTAAGTTGAATACGAAAATTATTTGCTTTAGAATAGTTTTTAAGGTTCAACAAATTCGAGGGATAAGGAGGATTTTGAGGGCTTAAGTGGGATTTGGTTGATTTTGATGTATTAAGAGAGCTGGTATCGATGATTGAAGAAAAGCAAGATTTGCTGATTAAGAGGATATGGTGGAGATATTAAAGATTTAGATTATTAAGATGGATTAAGCAGAGGTTAGGGTGATATCAAGTGATTTGTAGGGGTGAGAAGATTTGGAAATTTCCCCTCTATGCCCCTCTACTCTCCCTAATATAGAATTCTTTATTCCCTATAATTCCCGATATTTCTCTAAATTCCGTCTAATCCACCGATATCTCTTTACCTCTTAATATTCTTTTTTTCCTTTGAATCCACTTATATCCTTATTAATCGCTACAAATCCGTCGATATCACTCTGAATTCTTCTTAATCCCTTCACCCCACGATATCATTAATTTAACTCAAGTTCACTTTATCACTGTCTCTATTACGTAAAAATATTAAGGAAAAATCCTTAACATTTTTAGAAAATCCCGTTACTGGATCTTGGATTTGCAATTTTGCCGCATTTTAGTTTACATAATATTACTAAATGAACATAAAATAAGAAGAAATCAATGGAAATAGCTTTAGATAAAGTATTTTATTATACTTGGAAAATTTTCGTTATTAAAGAAGGGTGTCATTCTATTAGAGACTGGCATTCAATAAGAGAGTGGCATTCTATTTTTCGATCACCTTCCAAAGTGGCATTCTATTAGAGACTGGCATTCAACTGGGGAGTGGCATTCTAATAGAGAAAATACGGTATATATATATATTGATAAAGATATATAAAGATATAAAGATATGCTCAGATAAAGATATGGTAGAGAATTAAACAATGAACAAAAATAATCAAGAATCGTCGGAATGCCCACCCCCTTACCTTGGATACAGGGCTGAAGACGCGAGGAAATTTTTGAATAAAAGTTCTCACCTCTTTGCGTAAGATCCAGAACGAGTGATTAGCGGATTGTTCATAACTTTTCTGTTATTAAGGGCTCCAAAAATCAGAAAGAGTTATCCATCGAATTCCCCATTACTTTCTTATCACCCTGTATACATCAGTGAGAGTATACCATAATGAGGTCCGAATATCAAATCAAGCTTTTATTTGTAAAAAATTTTAATTTTTAGCCAAAAGAAACGAATCCTAATCAAATCAAAGCAAAACGTACATTAATAGAAGTTAGAGAAATCAAAGGCTATAACTGTGGTCATCCTTGTCGAGATAATTATATAGAAATTAAATATTTCAAAGATAAAACACCAACTGGTTTGATCTTTTGTTTTAAAAATATTTTTTCACCATTTTTAGGAGCTAGAATTTGTTGTGACACAAAAAATGACAGAATTCTAACTATTAGTTCTGAAGAAAATACTGAAGTATTAATTATGATGAAGGGCTGGATAGGAGAATACGACATTAGTTACAAAGCCGGTAAGTTATTTTAAGAAAATAACTCGCTGCGAAAATATGTAGTAATGTTCCCGACATTTTGCTGTTTTTAAGAAAAAAACTTAGTTTTAAAAAGTATCTTAATTTTACAAGAGAAAATAAGAACTACCAAAACTCTTGGTGTTGATCTTGCATTAAATTGCTAATTTTTTAGATCTTGTGGGTCTGTTTAATTTTCGATAAGTTTTATACATTTTCATTGAACAAGAATAGTTTTATTCATAAAGACCAATTGGGAAATAAGTCTAGAGCTCTAAATACATTCTGAAATGTTTTTAGAACTTGCACCTTCACAAGAATCTTCAAATTGCATTGAAGTGCGTAAATCAATTTTAAAAACTGGCAATTTGCAATATCCCCAAAAACTATATGAGTTAGATGATAAAGGAAATTTTGCTCTAACACCTGAAGGAAAAAGGATTGAATCACCGGATAGAGTTGGACCTGAATTTTGTTTAGCTTGCAAAAGTGATTATTCGATGATTGTTTGTTTTACGTTTATGTAGATTATTTTAACTATTTTTATTTAAGATTAATGGTATACATTTCCGTCGAAATGACTGTATTGAAGATAAAAACCCAGATCCAAAATGTATTTATTCAACATGTTTTTACTGCAAGGTAATAAAAAATTTAAATGAAGAAATATCTGTCCTATTGAATTCTTGATTGAAATCAAACATCGAATATTTTTGCATAATTTAGAGAATCTAAATTGAAGTTATCGAAGACTTGTTAGGGCCCTTTCCCTATTCCCAAAGAATGATTTCTTTGAATTTCGAAAATTGTGTCAAGGCTGCTTGTTAAATTAGACTAAAAAGTAAATTTAAATTTTAGACTGTGAAAGGTTCCAACGATGCAAATTGGTATTGGAAGAATCCGGAAGGTGAATGGATTCTTGTTAATCTTATGGATTGTTATACAAATAAAGGATTAAATGACTAGAACATTTCCAAGTTAACTTCTCAGTCGTAAAATTTCTTGTTGTATAACTCCCTTTTCTTATTTTTTCATCCACCTCTTTAAAAAGTAATACTGTAAATCTCTGATTGAATGAAGCACATGTGCTTCTATTTTTCAATTGGTAGGGTGTGCTTATTTTGGAAAGTGCTTCAATTAGAGACCGTGCTTTTATTTTTCGATCTATTTTTAAATTTTTTATAAAAAACTTTTACCCCACATAAAATAAAACAAAAATTAAATTTCAATTGAATCAGGGTTGCGTCGTATTTACGAATTTCGATTACGAAAATTTAGGGAAAAATTACGAATTACGAAAATAATTTTGCCATTAAATTTTAGAATGAAAAGGGGAAGAAATATTTATATTTTCTCTCACACTTACTTTTGTTTATCGGTGGTTGAGTGGGTTAAAAGTCAAGCTTACTCATTTGATTTTTGTGAGGTTTGGTTCGAATCAATGCGTGGGGAATAATATTTAGACAATTCATTTTTCAAAAATAAACGTTTTAAACTTTAATTTTGATTTTAAGTTTGTAAATTTATATTTTTAATATTTTAAAATTGAAAAACTTTAAAATTTTTAATTAGTCATGAATTTTCTAAAAAGTTTTGGCTCAAGATTATGTGAGAGGGATTTCACATGATATCAAACTTTAATCTGGACTATGATTCCGCATCATTAATTGAAGAGATATCGGAGGATTATTAGGATTAAGAGAGATTAAGAGACTTGGAGAGGATTTATTATTAAGATTAAGAGACTTGGAGGGATTAATGGTAACAGCAGCAATTATTAATAAATATTTGATTTTTTAAGATAATTTAAATATTTTTAAAAAATTACGAATTACGTATTTTTTCAGTTACGAATTACGATTACGAAATTTTTTTGAAAATTACGAATTACGATTACGAAAAAAAATTTTCAATTACGACGCAACTCTGTCTGGCAGATCTAAATTTTAAATAATAGCTTAATTCCTATCTCACTTGACATGTTTCAGCGTTTTTCAAAATTCTGATAATTTCGAAAACTTTTCGACCGGTCTAACAGGTACTACATTTTCGACTTTTCGAAAAAATTTTTTTGAAGTCTGTAAATTTTATAGGTAATTCTCCTAAAGATTCTAAATACAATGCTAAAAACCGCATCCAAATCGGTCGAAATTCTACAGAGTTATGAATTTTTGAAAATCGAAAAACACCCATTTTTGCAAAAAAAAATCGACAAAAATGGCAAAAATGGTGTTTTTCGATTTTCAAAAATTCATAACTCTGTAGAATTTCGACCGATTTTGATGCGGTTTTTAGCATTGTATTTAGAATCTTTAGGAGAATTACCTATAAAATTTACAGACTTCAAAAAAAATTTTTCGAAAAGTCGAAAATGTAGTACCTGTTAGACCGGTCGAAAAGTTTTCGAAATTATCAGAATTTTGAAAAACGCTGAAACTTGTCAATTGAGATAGGAATTAAGCTATTTTTTCAAATTTAGATCTGCCAGATCGGATAAAGATAAACGGAATTACATAGAGTTTACCCTTTCCCTATTTAAATTTTCGCCACTGTATGTACATATATCTGGGATGAACGGAATTATCTGAAGAGAGATATATAATTTATAAAGCAATAATTTAATAAAAGAATTTATTCAAAACACAAAAAATTGGTTATTTTATTTGGTAATAAATGTATACGAGTAAAATCAAAAAAAAAATTAAATTTTCAATAAAATTATTTAAGAATTAAATGTTTTGAGATGTCATAAATAAACGGCTTGGTTTCAAATCATTTCCATAATTTGCTGTAATTGTAATATTTTTTCACGGAACATAAATGTTTTAATACTGTTGAATGAGTTACAAAACCTCCTTCAGTCTTAACACGAATTGAATGTTTACATTTCTTAGCACGGCAATAGAAAAAGTTCTTCTTAACACGCCATAGTGAATAATGGAAACCATTATCAGTAACAAATTTTTTTAGATCATGTTTGTCTTTAACCGTAAAATATTCTCGGTCCTCTAAAAACCTTCCTCTCTTATCAACAGCTAAAAATATAAATAGAAAAAATTAAGAATGTAATTTTATCTCAAAACTCACCATAAACTTTTTTGCGTCTACGTCCAGACGAAGATTTGATTTTAGTCTTAAACTGAATTTAATCTTAATTTTAAATAGAAACAAACCGTTTCAGAAGATTGTAGTGTGGTCTCCAAACAGGAAGTCTAAAAATAAAAAAATTAGTAACAAAAAAAATTTAAGAATTTTTAACATTTTGCTAAACTAATGAGAAGGCCACTAGATCATAGGTTGATACGGACACTAACAGTCGATTGTTCTGATTTTTTAATGGCCTTGCGTGTTAGGGAACCTGCGCCTTAAATAACCCACTGTCAAAGCTAATTTCTTAGGAAAAATTAAAAATTACTAATTTGGCTGTATTATCAGCATGTTCCGACTCGAAAGACAAGTTCATATGCATAGCAACAGTAGCTGAATGAGGTAAGCTTTGAATGGAAGAAGATTCAAATATTTGATCCAAATCAAGTTCGTCTAGGCCTTGATCAAGCGATAAAGTTTTGCTTGTAACAAACGTGGATGTTGACTGAAAAATCATCAAATAGTTTAAAAAAAATAAAAAATTATCGATAGTTTAAATAAAATATGAACTTACAACGGAACGATTTGAACTTATGTGAAAATTTTGCACTTTTTTGCACCATCGTGTAGTGCAGGGTCGATAAGCTATTTTCAGTCTGCTTTTTTGGCCTTGACCCCCATTTCGAAAAGTTATAGGGGATCAAATTTTCGACGTTTGGACCGGCTGAGTCCACTTCAATTTGAATTAGTGTTGCAAAAATGGACCGACTCGGGCCGAAAGATCGAGTCGGTCTCATTTTCTTTTTAATACGTTGTACAAGTATACTCAAGCGGTCTAACTTCGAACCCCTATAACTTTTCGAAATGGGGGTCAGGGCCAAAAACGCAGATAACTGGCAACAGGTTATCAACCTTGCTCTACACGACGGTGCAAAAAAAAATCTTCACATACAGTTCAAATTTTTCCCGTGTTAGAAAATTTTAAATTTATGGATAAAATTTAAAAGGATAAAATTTAAAAGGGAGAATTGTCAGCATATATAAGCTTTCTAATAAATTATTATATTGTTATAATTATTATATTTCTTACATTTTTGGGTGTATCAAAAACATTTTCAGAAGCAGACTTATTAAAATCCGAGCCGGTAGGGCAAGAGTCCTGACGAAAAAATTCTATTATTATTAAATAAAGAATAAACCCCTGCAATATCTTGATCAATATTATATTCTTCAGAAGATACATCTTCATCAATAATTATAGTAGACTTTATTTTTAATTCGTCTTCTAAATTAGTAGGCTTTTCCTTCTCTTCAATATATTTTATTTTAAGATTATTAAAATTAGTTTGAAGATTAATTAAATCATCGCTTTGATTATGCAACTTAAATAATTTTTTAATTTTAAAAATTATTTTTTTACATATATTTACTTTCAATTCCAAACTATATTAAGACTGAAAAATATTAAGACTGACTCGTTTGATATTAATCCAAAGTAAAATATAAATCGGATCTAGGTCAATTTTATAAAAATAGGAAAACGAAGTAAGCATTTTAGACTGCTGTCAAAGGCCTATTTCTCCTCAGCACAGATTCTGATAGAATGCAGATTCTATGGAGATTATATTTCTCCAAAGTTCCGCGAGGGGAGAAATGGGCCGCTGATCATAAAGGAATACTTAATAAATTTGATTTCAGGAAAATTTCTGACAAAAAGCGTATCATAACGAACATGCCTTAATCAAAAATCTTGATTTTCATACATAAATTTTGGAGATCGGCCAAGAAATTGTCAAGAAAAGTTTTAGTTTCTTGTGCAATATCAATCAGGGCAATCTAGAGTATTTTTTAACGCGGTAGAAAAAGGCGAGTTATAGAAAAAGGGGCATACGATAAGTACGATAAGTATAAAGTATCAAAAAATAATTTAAAATTTACTTTTTTAATTTTTTCCTCCAAAAAATTTATTTTATCGACTTTTTGCTTTAAACAAACATCATTTTCAGCTTTAACTGTTTTGATTTTTTCTTCTAAACAATTAATTTTCTCATCTTTTTGATTATTTTCTTCAATTAATTTTTGATAATTTTGCTTTAATTGTTCAATTTCATTTTTATATTCAGAATTTATTTTTTGTATTTTCTACATTATATATTAAATATTATAAAATAAGTTTAATTTTTATTTAACGGGAACTAATATGTGTAACTCATTCTTCCGATAAGATTAGGAATCGCAATTTTCGTGTAGGACCATATCTTTGTTATTAAAAAAATTCTGGCGCAGAGCCCTGCATCGAAGTTTATTTGGAAATTATAAAGCTGTCTTTTATATCATATAATTTTTCTTTAAATTTTATAAGAATAATTTACCTTTTTAATTTCTTCCTCCAAGGAATTTATTTTCTCGTCTTTTTGTTTTAACAAAATATCATTTTCAGTTTTAACTATTTTCATTTGTTCCTCCAAACAACTAATTTTTTCATAATTTTGATTATTTTCTGCAATTAATTCTTGATAGTCTTGTTTTATTTCTTCAATTTTTTTTTCATATTCAGAATTTATTTTTTGTATTTTTAATTCCCAATTTTCCAGAGATAGACCATTATTTCTCAATTTTAGCTAGAATATGTATAAATTTATTTAATTAAACGGAGAAGAATCAACACCCGTCTTAACTTTGGGCCGAGATACAGACCCCCGAAAATTGAAAAATAAAAGGGTGGACCAAGCTCATTTTTTGGGCTAAAAATTTGATTTAACAAATAATAACTCATTCGAAAGAGCTTGTCGAGCTGATTTGAATGACATCAAAATCAACATAATTGAACAAGATTTGACAAAGTTATGGCATAAAGTAATCCTATTGTAGTCGTTGAG